AAAAGAGACATTAGTGCAAGCTCCTGGAAAACTAATAGACGGAGAACACAATCATTTGGACAATTTGCATACAGATAATCTGGTAGTGATGCGTAAGCGAGGCGTTCAACATAAGAGAGAATTGAGGAAAAGGAAGCAGAAATGGTTGCAAAACGGGCACGGAACATATAGTCAACTGGCCGATGAAGACGAATTTTTTGAAAGTTCCGAAAAGTCACCAGATATTGTATGTCATTTCTATCGCGACGGCAACGCACGTTGCCGCGTCATCGATAACCATTTGAAGGTATTGGCTGGAAAACATATTGAAGCGAAATTTTGCAAAGTCAATGTTGAAAAGTCGCCATTTTTATCACAACGCTTGCGCATGAAAGTCATACCAACAATTGTTGTAATCAAAAATGGCAAAATTAAAGATTTCATCGTCGGTTTTACCGATTTAGGTAATTGCGAGAATTTTTCAACGGGCATGGTTGAATGGCGACTCGCTCAGTCTGGTATCATTAATTATAAAGGCGATTTAATGACACCGCCCATTATGAAAAGGAAATTCGTTAAAAACCGTGCTCAGATGAATATGCGTGGCGGTTACGAGCCCGATGATTCTGAAACTGATTCCGATGATTAACAGAAGAAACAAAGCGATTGAAATGTGTGTTTGGATTCATTTTGAATGACTTATCACAACATCTTTGCATTTTTCTTAGCAATGCTTCAAATATCCTTAAAAGATACTGAGCTGGAGTTTTTTTCTGCATTATACTTACAAACTATTTCTTTTCCAGTACTTTGGCGTAAAAAAAAGAACAATAAAAAACATATATAGAATCCCATTCCAAGTCTTTTTTTTTTTTTTGTTTGATTTAAGTTTACATCGAAAAGGTAATTAGTTGCGTTTTTTTATTTTTTTATTCACAGTAGCTTCACAATAGTGACTAATTCGAATTATGACTTCAAGCATCCTATGTAGAATTTCTATATATATTTCTATGCTACCTTAATGCTAGATTCAATGACCCCGATCCTTAGTTGTTGTAGATATATATTAAGTTTGTGCGACATCTAGAAGGACTTTTTTTCCTTTTTTATCTTACGTTCCGTGCCCGTTTTGCAACCATTTCTGCTTCCTTTTGTTCAATTCTCTCTTATGTTGAACGCCTGGCTTACGCATCACTACCAGATTATCTGCATACAAATTGTCCAAGTGATCGAGTTCTCCGTCTATTAGTTTTCCAGGAGCTTGCACTAATGTCTCTTTTGATATATCGACAATTAACTTTTCCGTGCCTATTAAATATATATATATATATATCTATATATATATATATATGGAATATGTTTTCAATTTTATTTAAAACACAAATGCGTTCATATATATTTGTTCTCTTTGTGGCATTGCCTTGACTTTTTAATAATTTTTTGTAACTTAGTCAGTGTCTGTTATCTGCTTTGCTATCGTTTATCTCAGGTGAAACTTATCCTTATGCGCTACAGATTAGATCTTTGCAATACATTCTCAATTCTGATGCGTTTCGCTTCCATTTTGTTTAAGTGGATAGTTATGGTAATACCTCTGCGGATAATGTCGCATCTTTCAGAGCATCACATGTTAGTTATCGTGCTCTGATTTCTACTGACTTGACCAGCATTCAGCCTTTCCTTGGCCACAGTACTGGAACGGTTCAATTCACGGTCGCCACTTATACTGTTTATCCTCGCATTTAAATATAACACTGTAGCTTCACACAGGGTATTATTTGCCTTATTAGTAGGCTGATGTTTAACCAGAACAGATGTAATGGCGGCTTGCGTAAAATTAACATAGTGAGAGATTCCTTATACACATGTGCAGCTTCGCAATCTCGTCATCATTTTCTCTTGGTGTGTCCGTATATTAACACAACTGTTGGTCTTTTCAAGTTTTAAGATCGCAGGGTTTTTGGGATTTTGCACCCCTTTAATACAATATCTGTCAAATTTATGAAAATAAAATGAAATAAGAAGATTATTGGAAAACTTGACAAAGATCATTTCCCGCAAAATGATCACAATTAGATGACAGATGTGATAACACGCTAAACATATATGTACATATACATAGATTTACAATAAAGTTTTCCGTCTGAGTGGCCGAGTACGCAAGAGTCTCGACGAGCAACTCAATGGTCGTGGGTTCAAATCTCAAGTGCGGTAGAGTTTTTAATGAAGCCGAAAGCCTTAGATGCTAATGCTTTAAGGCTTTGGTCTTAGAATTTAGTCTCTGGCTAAATTTACAATAATAATAATAATAATAATAAATACAATAAACCTAACCGACCGAAGTTTATTAATGTTCCAATAATGAACTTTGTGTTCACATTGAGCATTTTTTACGTAACAGAATGAATCGTCTGTTGTTGACTTATTGAATTGCAAAAGAAGAAGAATTAAATAATCTGTGAAGGTGAAAGCGCATAAATAAAAGCACATAAGTCAGTAAAATATAAAACATTTGCAGCGGTCTGCCGATCTATGTTATGTGCAGATCGTAAATGCGAATCTGTTCGTGCACCACGTGAAGCTTTAGAATGAAGAGTGGGTGGGCCAAAGTAGAACGCTTTCTCTGAATAAATTCTCTAATTATTGCCTGAGTTGTAAAGCTCTCTATTCTTGGAAGACAAGCAAGTCCGTTTTAATTGGCTAAATGAACTATGTAAATTGATTGAGGTGAACTTGAAATTTATCATGTGTTCGCATAAAAGGCGGCAATTGTCGATGGCAATTAGTGTCTGCTTCTAGCAATAAGCAATAATTCTTTTTTTTTGTCGAGTTCCTATGTTGTTGTCTCATAAAAAAGTTTTCGACAAATATCATCGGGAACTTGCCATCCGTAAATGACAACCAAATCGACGGACGTGGCGTAATCGATTGGGAATTCGACGACAATCAATAATAACATATTTAATGGGATCTCCGTTGGGTAAGGCAAATTTCTTAATGAACGTAAAAAATTCTTCGTTATTTATGAATATTTTCTTCTTTGCTTTTGTTTTTTTTTTTTTTTTTTTTTTTTTTTGTGCCTATTTTTTGTTAAATCGTAAAATTTCTATAACATGCTTTCATATCTATTGCCGAAGAAAGGGACATGTATTAAAGTTGTTTTCGAACCCAATAATTTATGGGAATAAGGTGGCTATTCCATGTGATTTTTCGTACGATAGTCCGAAGGAGCTTTTCATTAATCGTAAACCGATTAAATAAATTATTTTATAATATAAGATCGTACTAACTAAACAATAATCATAATAATTATAACAATTGAAATAGCATTGAATAATTGAATGGAATAACAAACAAATTCTATGTAGAATAATATCCATCCAACGTATATATAAAGATAAAAGCATGTGTGTATGAGGACAATACACTATGTAAATAAATGTATGCAAGCAAAAAGTTATAGTTTGTTCGTTTCTATTAGAATGAAAAATAAAAGGCTAAGTTGCGCGCTATGTAGATAATTAACATCACCAATAGGTGTATTGAAAGCAGTGGTTAAGATTGCGTTCATAAACCAACAAATGCTCAGCAGGGGTTTCATGTTCTGCTGCTGTAATCGCGTAGTCGTGTATTCGCATTGTGTAACATGTTCACCAGACACTCTAGCGTAGCGTTGCAAAACACTTTTAAAATATCGAAAAACAAAGCAATGAAAAAAAAAAACAAAAAAAAAAAAAACGATACATAAATAAACCATTCATAAGCTTGAACACTTACGCTTCTAGAGATATTTGGCCGTTTTACTTAGCAAATCAAAACTGTTTAATTCGTATAGGAAATGCTTTATAATAAAAAGCAATTTTTTGTTTTTTTTTTTTTTAATAATTATTTTCAAAAAGCATAGGAATTAAGCACAAAAAAAATCTCATTTGTACATTGAGCTGCTCTATGAACAAATCAGTAGGTAACTGAATTACATTGATTGAAAAGTCACGGGGCTAGCGTTAAGAAATATTTGCTGTATTCGGTGAAGAGAAGAGATTTAGATTTCTTTAGATTTCGGCACTTAAAGTTCAACCCCCTTCCTTACTAGTTTGCCTTCCTTTTTTAAAGTTGAATTAGGAAACGTATTGATCGTGAGGAAAGTCCAATCATGCGTTAAGTTTATTCCTACTTTTTATAGATCAGGTTCAATTGATGGAAAGATTCATTTTTTAATCCACTATCAGTCATTGTTAATTCGTCTCACTAAGTATAATTTCTCGATGACTACAGCCTCTTTACATGAGCTACAAATGCTTCCTGTAGGCATCTTACAAATCGTTTCTCCTTTCATAACGAGCTTAGTCTTTGAAAAGTCATTCGTTGTAGGCTGCCCTCGTCGTTGGAATTATTTCCAATCAAGTTCCAACGCTGTTAGCAGTGACGCTACGCATTTTAATTCAGGATTAATTACTTCACTTGGCTTTAAGTAATCTGCAAGTTCTTATTGGCAATCATCTCTTATTCATGATAGGGTTTGAGCTTCGTTATCGGTTTATAATTTGACTGGGAAAATACTTGCACTTGGACTTAGCGGAAATTCAGTTTTCCATAGAGTAAATAATTGTTCCCTCTCACAAGATTTTTTCTCCTTAAACTTCGATGCAAATCGAACGTAACTCTATCTTTTCTATTTTTGAAATCGGATAAAGTTTCTATAGATTTCGATGCGACGCTTGATATTCATGGAACTATTTTTAAGGTACAGTTTCTACCTCATCCATGTTTGCTTTCATAGCAAAAACGAGTAAAGCTTTTCTAAAAATCAAATATGTTTTTTTACCCAACTTCAGGGAAATTGAAATTAAGTAATGTTGGGCTTATGTTCGACATAGATCTAATCAATTGCTAATTAATGGCTCGTTGGTCGAAGTCTTCACGTCGCACACATTCTTCCTTTCTTCAAAAATGCATCAATTATCTTTGTTGGATCTCTCGACTGTGAAAACATAATTAGGGCTCGTCTCTATTAGGCGAATCTCGAAGATAAGTTTCCTCAGATAATAGCAAAACGCTTTATGTGTTCGATACTAGTAAGAAGGCTGGAAGAATGGAAAAAAAAAAATGATATTTGGTGCAATTTGCTGATCGCAATATTTGATTTAACGTATTCTCACTGTTACTATACTTACCCTATGAATAAATCTTTTCAATATTTCAACATGAATTTTGCAAAACTAAGATTATTTACTATAGTTATGCCAGAGGTCAATTAGATGATTTGCTCAGGCGTTTAGGCCTGCGGTAGGATGATATTTCTTTCACCACCACTGTATATAGATTTGTTTCGTCACAAATTATATGTGTTTTGTCTTTATTATACCGATCAGCGGAGGATAAAATGTATATTCATTTTATCAAAACGTTTGCAATGCTCAGAAGTTAGCTTCAGCTACTTCACAATATCTGAAATTTTGAATCGATTTAATCATGTCCGTCTGTCCATAAACATTTTCCTGACCGCAAAAATGAAGCTGTCGATTTGAAAGTTGGTGGGAACATTGAAAGTTCTTGCACGCGGGTTGATGTTAAAAATCGGTAAGAATGGGTCGAAAGACACGCCCACGGTACCAGTACGTAAACTTCAAAAGGAATTAAAAATTGTTT